GCTGGAAACCGCAGTGAATTTCATGTACGTTTTAGGAGTTTTGCTAACATGTAGATAGAGCGTGTGTTCGCTTTTTTCCTCTTTTAATGACATCCACAGAGAAGATGAGGAGCTCACTTCCTAAAGGACGTGTGGCGTTGACAGGCCGGCCTCTAGGGTCAAGGTAAGGTCATGAAGCAGACGCTCGCGTTGGTAACTCGGATGACAGCTGCACATGACTTCACGTACAAACACTCTTCTACTGGTAAGCATATACATGCTGAGAGATGGACGTAGGTATTATAACAGATGTGTATCTACTGCATCATAGTATGTCTGTTCTTATATGTTTGCTTACAAACAGCAGGGAAAAGCAAGATTATTTAAAGATGACCTATTATGCCCCTTTCTCAAGATGTAATATAACTCTCAGGTGTCCCCAGAATGTGTCTGTGAAGTTTCAGCTAAAAATACCCCACAGATCCTTTAAAGGAGTCATAACCTGTAATTTTCACTTTTCCACGAGAATCAATGTATGTTATGATTGCCTAACGATTATACATTGGCCGGGAAGCCGATATTCAAAAGTGAAGCGTTTGTTTACCCCAGGGTTCGTAAACCAGCCCACGTGCACGCGCACCCTGCCCCTCTCCCTCTCATTTTCAGTCAAGAAAGATGCAGAAATGTAGTCCACACGTGAGTTGCTCTGTGGTTGACTGCCAGAATCAACATTCAAATGGGTTTTCTCTACCAAAAACGGACCAAACTACCAGGGACCAGTGGATGAAATTCATTTTTAATGATGCTGTTCCAACAACCCTATCAACTGGCTCAACGTTAGGTGTCTGCGCTAAACATTTTACACACCCTCAGTGATAAACAGACAAGAAAATGATAAAGCTATTATTTCATATAATTGTATATTATATAACAATGACAACATATCATTGTATTGATTTTTTTATATAATAGATAAGGATAGATAAATAAAACAAACAGTCAAGTAATAATAAACAAAGAAAAACATCACGTTACATGTCTGTAGATGAAAAATATTGAATGTCTAAAAAACCACAACGTGAAACAAGGCAAAAACAACACATGATAGCAAACGTTGATCTCTATAACCACTGTAAGCTGATAAAAAAAGTAGACTACATCTCCGTTAATGTAATCTACATTAAATAAAAGGTAAACTTATGTGGGAGAAAATAGCAACAAATGTTTTAGCTCGTTACTGATGTTAATGTATGTCTCAGTCAAAATGATTGTCTTTACCATTCAGAGACATGTTGATGTAGACGTCCTTCCATTGACTCTATATCCAGCTCTGGTTCAGAGTCTGGCTCAAACATATACGGTTGAATCCCGTAGGTCGCGGCCAGGTCGGGTTCATTCACAACCAGTGTTGGGCAAGTTACTTTTAAAAAGTAATTAGTTACAGTTACTAGTTACTTCTTCCAAAAAGTAACTGAATTAGTTACTCAGTTACAAATTTTAAAAGTAACTAGTTACTTAAGAAAGTAACTATTGCGTTACTTTCAAGTAATTAAATTTTAAATGCTCAAATGTGACCCCACCTCTACCCCTCTTTAACGGAACTTAAAATACATGTGCATGTTCAATTATTTATGATAAATCTGAATATTATAATGAAATGGCCCCTAATACAATACATTATTAACAGAAACATGAAACATTGTACACACATCTAAAAAAATGTTGCTGTGGGACAAAGTGAGACTAGCCTCCAATCAAATGCCATGTATGTAGATATTATGTTTATATAGTGGATCAATGCAAATAACACAATAGATGTTTTGGAACTTTTGATATTTATTGCCCCTCAACAGGCCACAACTGGGCAAAATTAAATTAAGCTTGTTAAGCTCGTCGCCATACCTGTCTCTCGTTGACTGACTGGCTTGTGTTGTTCCTTGTGTGTCCTGTCCTGTCCTGTCCGACTATGCGTTATGATGGGTCGTTCCCAATTCATGAGCGTTAGCCGTTAGTGATGATGGGTCGTTCGCGAATGAGCGTTAGTGATGATGGATCGACTCGTTCATGAGCTTTTAATGGGTCGTTCGCGATTCGCGAATGAGGCGACTCTAAGAGCCGGCTCTTTTAGGTGAACGTCGGGAGCTGGCTCGCATATCCGAAGAGCCGACTCTATTTTTACAAATTTAGCCTATAGAAATTAAATAATTATGTAATAAAAATTGAAATATTATAGTCAAAGTCATTTAAAGAGCCGTTTGTGAGCCAAAAGAGCCGGTTCTTTTCAGTGAGCTGAGTCAAAAGAGCCGAATGCCCATCACTACTATGCGTGCTTTCGAACACCCGCCCAACTCTACCTCTGATTGGCTTACAATGACATTTTACTCTACCTCAGCCAATCGTCAGCATTTATGCGCTTGTCTCGTGCTCTGCCCACTAACCAAGGAAGAACAGTAAAAAAAGTATTTGCCTCTCGCTCAGAGATCTAGTTGGTCTGATGAAAAAAAACCCCAGCTTCATCAGTTATAGTAACGCGCCGCATTTTTTGGCAGTAACGGTAACGGCGTTATTAAGATGAGAAGAGTAATCAATTAGATTACTCGTTACTGGAAAAAGTAATGCCGTTAGTAACAGCGTTATTTATAACGCCGTTATTCCCATCACTGTTCACAACTTGCGCCATGACGTCATTTTGTAATGATATGCTGAAGTTACCTGCGGTGTCAAGCCCCCTCCTTCCTGCCACCAATCAACGCGCCCCTCATTTGCATTATTAAAATGACCGTCCACGACAGCCAAAATATCGCATCAGATCTCGCGAGACAATAATGCATTCAGAAATAAAGGTCAGAGGAGCTCTGTGTTTATTTTTTTCCACTTTTCTTTTTTAGAAGGGCCTGAAAGACTATAATAGAGCGTGGGTATCCAAGGTAATACTAGGTTATGACTCCTTTAATATAGCTTGTCCAATTTGTGTGTGTCCCTTTAAATGCAAATGAGCTGCTGCTGCTGCTGCCTTTACAGCTCGTGCTTCGGATACTCTGGCAACAACAAAACTGGAGAATCTCACGCAGCAAATATGTCAGAAATTGTCAATAGCGTGTTTGAGCCAGAGTTGGACACTGATGGAGAGACTCGGGAAGAAGGTACAACTTTTAGTATGCAACTGGACGTTACTGAATAGTAAGTGGATGAATTAACATAGTTGTTGTGGAGTTCAACTCATCGACTAGCACGAACCGTAATGTTAATATAACAATCTTTCAGAAACATCATTTGTGCAAATCCAGCGTTAAACTGACCCTTGTTTGTGAAGCTGTCCGGCATACAATGATTTGTGCAAATATATAACACTTTTACCGATTTTCTTCAGCACATTTCCTTCATAAATGAAATGTAAGCACAGTGTCCTCAGTGGGTCTGCTGCCGGGAGTCTATAGAGACTGGTATGTGCGCTGGTACATCCAATAACAGAACATTAGTAATGTTTTTTGGCGTAGACATTGTATATCTCCGGCTGCTACCGCGAGGACACAGAGATGGCGACTGCGGCGGCTCACTCGGGCTGGGATCTATGCTAATAGGGCAGATCGTTAAATCTGGAACCACTGTTTATGATTTATGGGGATTATAAAAAAAAGGAGTGGGTGGATATACCGATATAGGCTGGTTGTTTACACACACTGTAGACACACATCAGTGTTCAAACACCTTATTAAAGTGAATTTTGCATAATAGGTCCCCTTTAATAGTCATGGTACCCTATATCAAAATAATGACCAACTTTTAAAATGCTTCCAGTCTTTTTTCTTCTTGACATCAAAGGAAGTTTCTTCAATCAAACTCTACGGTAGTTTGGCAAACATTCAAGTCCCTTGGTAGAAGATGCCAACACAGATTGCATCACTCTCAAACCCCAGGAAGAAACCAGCTCTTTATTTCTGACCAGATAAGTCAGTACAATGTGCAATCTTACCTCCATTCCCTGGTTGATTGCCAACTTCGCCATTCTAATCGCAATCGGCCCCTTGAGGAGAACAATCGTCACACCTTCATTAGAACGATGTACAGTAAGAAACCGTTGAAGCTGAATGAGCGAGCATGGCGGTTCATACCTGAGGGATGAACTCCCGGGCCAGATCCAGAGCTCGCAGATACGCCGCATCTCCACTGGGATTCTGCTCCACGGCATGGTTGACTAGGCCGAGACGCTTGGCCTCCTCGCCGCTCAGCACCCGCGCCGCGAATATCAGCTCTTTAGCTACGGACACCCCTACGGTTCGGGGCAGGCGCTGGGTTCCCCCTACAGACAGAGAATGAGGAGGACACACAATCTCATATTAATCTGGGGCATTTCAAAGCATGTTTGATTATGGGGTTAGGAAGATTTTTCAATGTTTTTGAAAGAACTCTCTTATGCTCACCAAGGCTGCATTTACTCAATCAAAAATACAGAAAAAAATGTAATATTGTGAAATATTACCAGCAACTGTTTTCTATGTGAATTTTGTTTTCTTCCGGTGAATTTTCAGCATCATTACTCCAGTCTTCAGTGTCACATTATTATTATTATGAATGTTGAAAACTTCATATTTTTGTGAAAAGAGACGATGATAATCTCTTTGAATCTCTGCCTTCCAAAGACATGCCAGCAAAACTCAATGCTCAAGGTCTCTGATCGGCTAAACTATACTGTCAAACTCTTCTCTTTTTTTGTTTGCGGTGTCTAGGGCTGTCTAAGAGAAAGATGCAACTTCCCAGGACGCCTTTTGTTGATTCTCTGATTTTAGGAAAACGGAAAACCACATCTTTAAAGTGTTCGAAAAACAGTCGAATTTGGAAAATTAAGCAAAAAGTTAGTGTGGGAAGCTGATGAGGAGTGAGAACAAGAGGAGTTAGTTGCATTGTGCTTCAATGCTGTTAACACTATCAACAAAAACACATTGTAATTCACAACTGCAACAGAAGGCTGCATCTTAGCGGTGCCCACCTCTCCATACACAACTCCAGACACTCGTGGGATAAATATCTGTTGCACACAAATATTTAAAGGGGCTGGTCATTGATTGAAAGTGTTGTGGTTGAAGACAATCACACATGGCCTGTGTTTTAGCATGGGATCTACTGTGCAGCTTTAGGAGCACCCGTCTTAGAAAATTGAACAAAACAAAGCTAATCGTTTTATAATGAGTCTTGAAAATGACTGGCCCACTCGCTCGCTTCATAGGAGCTTCATTTATTTCAATTTACACAAAGATTTCTACTACTTAAACTAAACTAGACTATTTCAGCGGGCAGTTAAAGTCACAATCCACGTACAGAAATGGAGGTAATTATGGTCACTTCAAAGCAAATCAGCAGAGGCAAGGAAAACTGTACAAACCATTTTTTATTCAATTCAGAACAGCAAAATAAACAGAAATTGCCAGAAGACAAATTAATGCACAACAAGTGTGTGTGTGTGTGTGTGTGTGTGCGCACACCCATGTTTGAGAATCTGAAGCTGTGCTTATGACAGGCTGTAAAGTTTGTAAACAATAGACAGCATTTTATCTATTCAACAGCAGGAAATGCTTTTCATTGATATCCAGGTACCGTATGTTGAAAACTTGTTTTGCTAAGTGGCATAGATGTGGAAAGTGATAAGAAGAAAAATAGATATGTACTCAAGTTATAGATAAGGGCAAACTCTGTATTTTTCAAGTCTATTCCAAACTTCTTAACCGGTAGAACAATAACTTCAGTAGAGCTCAAAATGAGTTGTCAAGTTCAAGGAAACAAAACAAATAAATAGCCGTATAAAATCATATTAAAAGTAGATCAAGTGACGTCTGTCGGAAATAAGGACACTTTATGAGCGCTGCATTTAAAGTCTTGATACATTTCAGTTAGTCCTTCACACAAACAATGATATTTGCATCTGCATTCAGACTGCAAAACGCCACTGGTTTGCATGTGTGGCATAACTGAATGCAAGTTTGTGATACAGTGCGTTGCCTAAAATGGAGAAAGTTTTGGTGGATGGGAATTTCAATCTTCCCTGCATAAAGCTACCGGCTTCAGGAGACCTGGAATATACTAGTAATTCTATTACAGTATATAGAGTACTAGTCAAATGGACTAATTTATGGTTCTGTCTGTGGTGTTTTATTGGAGTTGAGAGACTTATACTTGACCTATTGTTGTATGGAAAAGAGCCTTTTAAACTTTCCTAAATGTTTGCATTGTACAGAAAAGACAACAACAGACAGGTTTGGAAAAACATGACAATTAATGCATTTCCGTTTTGGGGATTTTTTTAATGCGTAGAGTCAGTCTCAACCATTGATGTCCTGAAGAGTGTAAACCAGGGGTTTCAAACATACGGCCCTGGCCTGGGGGATGATTCAAACAAATAATAGAAACTAGAGATGCCCATAAGTCGGAGCGGCTTTAAGTTTTATTTTGGCCGATCTCTATTCTTGACTTGCACAAAAACTGCTTTGCAATCATATCCCAAAATGTCATTTGTGTGGGAATATTACCAAGTCTGTAAACAGGACGTTAACACAGGCCAGAGACGGGACGCGCTGAAGACGGACGCAGAGAAAACACAGACGCTCAAGCAGAGCAAAAACTGTCCCAGACACAGAAAGCTAACCACTTCTGTAGGAACATGGGAAGTATAGGAAGACAAAATGGTGGCAGGGGTTTATATGAATATCGATGAAGGGAACGGTCTTCAGAATAGTTGCGATAACATTTCCTTGTCCTCTTACCTCCGTATAAAGTAGTGTTTATACATGCGGCGCTGCTTTGTGTACAGCGGTAAACAAGCTAACACTATATTGCTGCGGTTTCATAAGCGCCACCTACTGGCAAACGGGGGAATGTGCGTTTTCATTCAGTCCGTCTGCTGTGTTTGGTTTGTGCAGGTGTCTTCTAGAGTAATTATAGCATCATTTCATTAAAACAAAAGTCAGACCATTCTGTTTTTGAAGAAAATGTAGACGTTATACCATCTAATTTCAATTAAAAACAACTGTTCAAGCTTCATCTGTGCAGCATCTTTGTTTGCATCATGATGTAAATGTGGTTTCCTCTAATTTCAAATGGCTAGAGATTTATTTTAGTTTAACAGTGGCCTGTTACAGAGCAAATAAACAACAAACTAATGTCCTTAAAGAAAAAATAGATCAGCAACTGGTATCGGAATCGGCCAATTTGCTTGTAAAAAAAAATCTGAATCAGCCATGACAAATCTAAATCAAAATCTAATAAAAATATTAAATTTGTATAAAATCTTTTCACGGTAAAAAGGCAGTTTTCACAGAGCAGTGTGTTTTTCTAGCTTTATTAATTTGTGGTTTGTAAGGTTAACATTAATGTAGGCTAATTATCAGCGGTTTAAACATGTTGGATGGTTAATTTTTCCCCCATCCGGCCCTGAACCCTGAACACTGTAGGGCTTTGGAAAGCTGTCTTTATATTATTCAATTTCAATATTTATCATTTCTAAGACAACTTGCATTCATAATCTTTGAATCCTGAATCTCTTCTTGAGAAATTTGCAGTTATGGCATGTAACCGCAACTTAGAAGGACAGGTTCCTTTCACAATTGTAATCAGGCCATCTCTGGACTCACACGTTGCACAACTCTTACTCAAGATCTTGTGTGAGAAAGATGTTTACACAGAGACGTGTTGCATAAGTGCTCACTAATAAAGCAGTTCACAACCTACAAACCCCACATGAATAAATCATAGTGTTTATAAATCTAGGACACGGCCTGACTGACTGTCTGACTATTTCTGATGAACACCGCATGACTTTTATACAGTAGACAACCACACTATAGAAACACGCAACTCAACCGATTGAGCTGAGTGTTACATATGATACACTTTATTTATTCATCTTATGTCTCATCTTTCTGAAACACTCTCATCCTCACAGTTTGATCTGACCCATTTTAATTCAAGTAACATCTTCCATTAAGGCCGATCGTTACAAGCACAACCATGACGAGATCTATTTATACTGCAATCCTCTCGTTTCATTAGCCGTCACCAACAGATCTATATCTTTGGCTTCCTATTAAATAGTTTTCATGATAATTTTTGATGTTAGAGAACTACAGTCAAAGATGAAAAAGCAATTGCGTTTCATGTAATTTTTTTAGACTAAATACAACATTTTGTTACGCGGTAGAGATTTAGCAAGAAATTCAGGGAAATGATTGCATCACATCAGTCCTGGCCAGTGAGAAAGTGGCCTTTGCCTTTATACAACGCATTTACAACACCAACCAAACAAGAAAAGAAAAAAAGAAAGAGGAAGATCACCATACACGGCGTCAACATGCTGAAGAAAGACTCGGGGCAGAGAGTGTGACGGAGGGTAGCTCAGGGTTGTTTTGAAATCAAGCAGAGGCTGGCGAGTGTTACACATTTCATTCCAAGAAACCGGAGAGGCCGTGAAGAAAGAGCGTCACAGTCGAACATGTGCTGCAGTTCCTGGAAGGGCTACACAACCCCTGCAACCTTTCATCTAATCTGGCCAAATCTGACAGGGGCGAGAGACTGCAGATGCGTGGACTGAAGTGTCGCACTTATACTTTCAAATAACATGTGCATTTGAAGATTGATGATGGAAACATACAATATTTTGGGGTCTTGAGTAACAGCCCATAATAAGGGCCTAATTCCTGGAAAGAAGCTAATTTCCTTGTACAAATTATGGGTCTCATTCATAAAACACATGCAGAATGCAATTGTGTAAATGATTCTTATATAAATTGCAGCATTTAGGCTTGGGATTTAGGAATGAAGCCTGATGTTTGCAAGGAAACCTGTAAATACCTATATTATAAGATGTGTTTTTTATTGATATATGTGCACACATTCTTATTTAACTACTGAGTAATGCCACACAAACACTCTTTTAAAGATAAAGATAAGATACAAGTTTGTCTTTCAACACCATGAGAAAATAAAACATCAATAAACAAACACACACACACCAATCATCTACTGTAACACTCCACCCCATTAAACTGGTATTACTGCTTTTCGCACTATTTAAAAGGTGAGTCATTTATGTCATATGTCTGCACATTTAAACATGTCTACAGAATTACAGAAGGCCTGTTCCCCTGGCCTGGGCTGAGCTCCTGTTGCTCCTCATTCCCAGCACAGGACAGGAAGAATGAAGAACTATGAAAATAAGCAGGGAAGTGATCTGCCCACGTACAATATCATGACTTAGAGGGAAAGTTCATCTGAAAATCTAAATTGTCATCAAAACTTAGTAACATTTTACAA